CAACATTGGAATGCGTCATCAACAAGAACTGTGAAGATCGTCTATTCGAGGGGAAGTTTTTGAGTTGTATTCTTTTTACGTTACTATGGTTTTTCTTACTGGGTTTCCAAGAAAGATTTTTAATGAGACAACAGAAATAAAGACAGAAGATACTAATGATACTGGTCTCCAAAGGGGAGTGTTACAAAAATCCATATTTTACGTAAGAAATTTAAAATGGAACCTATATCATTTATTCATCATAGTATAATTTGTCGAATTCTTCTTCTATATAAAGAGTGTATTGCTCTCATTTGTAAGTCACGAAAGATATTACATCTTTCGTCTATCTCTTTCTATAATATACTTCTGTATACATTTCTTTATATTATTTAGTAATATTATAATTATAATTCATAACTAATGAAAATATATATACGTATTATAAAAAAATAAAGTAATATGATTATAACAGTTGCGGATTTTTTTGTCGGATAGTGAGTTATCTGAAAATTCTGGACACCGAAAACATGTCCAATGTGAGAAAAGTTAAAATGCTAAACCTTGTGAATTGTTATGTCAAAAAAATTATGTTTAAAATATTAAACGTTGTAAGCGTGATCAGGAAAATTAAAAATCGATCGTCATTTATTTAGTTAAAATCGTGATATGAAGTCACTTGCTTTGTCGCTGTTTCTGTGGGTGACTCAAAGCGAGGAGCATATTCTCAAAGAAAATAGATTTTATTTCGAGATCTTTTATTTCTTAGCAACATTCAGAGGATTGGTAACGAAATATAAGATGATGGATTGAATGAATAATGAATATGGATAATTTTAAACAAAAAAAATATATGGGTAATAATATTAATATATGTACCTCTTATATTGAGCTTATCTTTAGTTGTTTGGCCCACACAAAAAAAAGACTCTAGGTTCTATACCACTTTGAAAGAGGATATATATATATATATATATTATATAAATGGCTTTAACAAAAAAAATGCTTTTAGGTGGTCATGTCAAATGAGAACGAAATAACTCATATAATTGCCTACTTTACTTTACTTTACTTTACGTTTATTCTATCATATATAGATGATGTAACGTCTCCACCATGTAAATTAGCAACTCGCAGTCTTGCAGTGCTTACCCTCAACACTATTAAAACAGAAACTTATTTTACCTACTTGCAAATAATTTAACTTAAAACATCACATTTATTTACTTTTATATTATGTTAAAGTCTTAAAATCGTTTTTATATATAATTTTTTATAAAATAAATATTAATAAAATTTATTATTAATATATAATTATATGATGAAACATGTTATTACTAATACTTTTATGATTATAATTTTACGGGTTATTCCAATAAATAGATCAAATACTTATCAAATATAAAATTAATTAAAAAAATATAAAACATAATTTAAGTTATGTTTGGGAGTTTAAGTACCTATTAGAATACGGATCAAATATTTTGAATCAAAGCTAATTTATATCACATCATATGTGTCATAATTTGTAAGTAGGCATGTTTGTAAGTAGGCATGTTTGTGAGTACGGATCAGATTCAAATATAACACGTCGAATTTGGTTCTAATTTTTACACATCCCAAAATCGATAAAGTAACCATATATCGTTCGGATTCAGGTTATATTGGTTAAGATATCTAAAATCTAAACCAAAAAAAAGATACTTATTTTTATAGAATTGGATATTAAAGTACTTATTTAAAATTTACATAATTAATTTTAAATGACATTTTAAAATAAATATATAACTGAATGTTTAAACTAGATATTTATGTTTCAAATATTTATATTTATAATTAATTTGGACATTTAGATCGATTCAGATTTTTTCAGATTTTTTGGTTTTTGGGGTATTCATTCGGGTCTCACTAATAACACTTTGATTCAGATATATTTTGTACCTCCCTACCAAACTCATTCTGATATATTTTAGATTTTTGACCGGTTACGGATCCAATTTTTTTTATTTAGATTGAGATTAGACGTCGAGTTATGGATTTTATGCACATGTCTACTTTATATAAAACAAAAATACGTTCATATAAAATTTTCACCGAAAGATTATCCTGCCTTTTGATAATACTATGTTTGATGAAATTAATGAACTAAAAAAAGTCTATCCCACATTTTACATGTATAGAAAATATGATTATATAAAGTTTGCATTAAACATAAAAGCGGAGATCAAAATCTAGTCTACTCTATTAAAATAGAGTCATTGTTTTTATCTAGTGTACAAAAGTCATAGTAGGTCTATTTCTTATTTACATAATATTATTACATAATATGGCATAATATTTAATAAGAATGTTAATAATAAATTAATTTTAACCATAAATTTGAATTTTATTTTTAGTTATAAAAAAATCTGTTAAGAAAGAATCTAACAAAATCCTACTAAATTTTTAAAATATGTTTGTTAAATAAAGCATTAATTATTTTCGTAATTAATAATAGAATATTATTTTAAATTACTATGAATTGAGTATTATGTAAAACATAAAAACAAATTATATTTTTAAAAATTTTATTATAGTCTATATTATTTTAAATAGAAGTATTATATAAATTAGATATGACAAATAATATTAAATTAGGAAATTAACCCATTTATTTGTAAAAATAATTTCATTTAAATAAATTATTATCTAAAATTAAAACGGGTTAAATTTGTTAACTATGTAATATTGTTATAAAAATAAAGTTATTAAATGTTAAACTTTTGATTCTACAACTATATATTTTCAAAATATAGTTTAAAGAAGAGTGTTATTTGATTATTTCTGATTACAAAAAATATTTATATATATATATATTCTACTTTTCTTATAGTATATATTATATTAAAATATAATTATTATATAAATTAAATATGTCAAATTATATTAAACTGATAAAGTAACCTATTTATTTTTAAAAATACTTTCTTTTATATATATTATTACCTACATTAAAACGGGTTAAAGTTGTAATATTCTTATACAGAAATAAAGTTATTATTATATGTTAAAAAATTATTCTACAACTATATATTTTCAAAAAAGATATTTTAAAGGAGATCAACTATTTGGTTCTTTCAGATTATAGATTTATTGTACCAAACTCGAAAATGTAAAACAGTTAATAAGAAAGTAAAATATATAAACAAATCACAATATGTTAATAATGTATTAAGAAAACTAAGAAATAGAATTAAAGAGATACATAATACATAACACTAAATATAAATTTTATATCTAAAGCATTTATGATAATATCAAAATTAAATATTTATAAAATAAAAAATATGTATGCACAAATGTGCGGATCAATTTCTAATTTATTCTATTAAAGTTAGATCATGACCAATTAATATATGCATAATCCAATAATAATGGCTAAATAATAATAACTATATTTAAATTTATTTAAAAATTAACTACCTTATATTATTTTCTAACACTAGCAGTTACATTTCTGACTGCCTCCACTTCTCCTTTATTAGTCGACAGTTATATATATATTAATAATAACATAAAATAGTAAATAGAATAAATGATAATCGTATTTGAAATTAGCAATTGATGATAATATTGGCAAATAGGAAATATATATATTAGTTTACGGTTTACATATTATGTCTACGTTCTTTTGATTAAGTTTCTAATGTCTGTATAAAAATTATGTTTTATTTTTCACCTAAAAATATTTCAACCTAGCATTACAATCTACACTTTTAAATAATACATAATTAATTAACTGCTTGAGTCCCAAAAAAAAAAGAAAATAACCAAAAAAATTCATTAATAATAAAAGATCATTTTACCTAGGGATGGATGTTCGAGTATTCATTCGGGGTTGGTTCATATTTATTCGGGTTTCGGATATTTGAAGTTAGAGATTTCAGCTTCATTTGGGTATTTATAAATTTTGGTTCGACTTTGGTTCAGATCTTTGCGGATTTGGTGCGGGTTCGGATAATCTTTTTAAATTATTTTTTCAATTTTTAAAATTCCTGTATACTTTAAATTTCAATAATCTAAAAGATAAAAACGATATATAACATATAAATTTTATATATACCAAAATATCTTAACTTAACATTAAATTGGTTTAATTTAGATATTTGTATGGAGAATCAATAGATTTTTTAAGTATCGAGAGTGTTTTTAATATTATATAATTACTTTAAATATTTAGTTTTGATTATTTGTATATATTTTCAAATATATTTGGACAACCTCAAAATATCTTATATATTTTTGATATTTTTTCGTTATTACATCTAAACATAACTAATATACTCAAATAGATAAATCTGATTCGGATCTATTTGGATATCCAAAGTATTTTGGTTCGGATCGGGTTTGATTTCAATTTTTAAATACCAAAATTTTGAACCCATACGAATATTTCACCAATTTTTGTTTAGATTCGGTATTACTTTTTTGGATCGGATTCTGTTGGGTTTTTTGGTTTGGATTTTTTCCCATCTTTAATTATACATTTGATTTATAATATTTAAATATATATTCTATTAAAATACAATCATGATCATTTAATAAATATATGGTCTAACTATTTATTATTCATGTATTATTCATTTATATTAATGAATAATTAAGCACAAAAATATGATTAAAAAAACATAAATATAAAAACTAAATTTTTCAGAAAAAAATCAAAACAAAAAATACATTCGCTCTTTCAAGGGTGGGTCAATCTAGTTACAAATCATTAAAGAAAAAACTACCGGCCGAGCAAAAAGCTAGCCCCTTGATTTATTCGGATGAAGCTTTTCTTAACTATGCTAGTGTAACACGCTAACCTCGACCAATGGATCCACATGGCGATACTCCATTGATTATGTTCGTTGGAAAGTTATAGAAACTTCAATTCTTGGGCCGAGGCCAACATTAATAACAAAACGACATATGCGTACACCATATAACAGTCGTAAAATGTAAATAAACATATACCATAAATTACTCTGCGTGAAAAATAACATAAGAACCATCAAGTTCGACTATATATATCGGATGCGTGCACTACACAGGCGATCAACACACGCAGAGACACATACTTAACTCTGACCTTCCTCAAAATCGTGAAATCAAAGTAACTCCTCCATCTTTTACAAAAATCATAAACGAGAGAAAAAAATGAAGAAGGTGATGATGGTGGTGATGATGGTGATGGTGATGGTGAGTGAAGCGAGTATGATAGAGCAGACATGCAAAGAAACACCAGACTTCAATCTCTGTGTCTCTCTCCTCGACTCCGACCCACGTGGCTCCTCTGCCGACACCTCTGGTCTCGCACTTATCCTCATCGACAAGATTAAGGTATTTCTTTTTCTTTTTCGATCTAGTTTCTTCATGTATAGATTTTTTTAACAAGTTTCTTCATGTATAAATATTCAGTTATATTAATATATCATAGTTAATTTCTTACAAGAATGTAATATTTGACTAGATTAACCCTCGATATTACTAGAGCATAAGCTTCGTTACTATTAGCATTAATCATTATAATTTTTTAGGGGTTGGCGACGAAGACCTTGAAAGAAATCAACGGTCTATATAAAAAGAGACCGGAACTGAGACGGGCGTTAGATGAATGTAGTCGGAGATACAAAACGATCTTAAACGCTGATGTTCCTGAAGCCACTGAAGCTATCTCCAAAGGAGTTCCGAAGTTCGGCGAAGACGGTGTGATCGATGCTGGTGTGGAAGCTGCTGTATGTGAAGGAGAATTTAAAGGAAAATCACCGCTGACTAGTTTGACCAAATCAATGCAAAAAATCACTAATGTGACTAGAGCCATTGTGAGAATGTTGCTTTGATTTGTTCTTTATGTTTTATACAGAAATGTCGTATGGATGATGTATGATGGGATTTTCTTGGGAAGAATAAAAATTTACCAACTAAGAGCATGTACATCTAGGTCTGGGCATTCGGATATTCGGTTCGGTTCTGGATAGGAACCATTCGGTTCCGGGTATATCGGATAAATCATTATTATACCTAATAGGTACTTATGAAATTTCGGTTCGGTTTCGGTTCGGTTCCAGTTCGGTTTCGGTTGGTTCCAGATACCCATTTAATATATAAATCAAATATATATATACATAATATATTAGTTAATATGATAATTTAAATGGTATAGTGTTTACACTCTTAAATATTCGTTAATCCAACAAGAGTTCGAATCAATAAAATGTTAATTTTATAAATATTTATCATATTTTAATATAGAAATACCATATATATTTATAATATAACAGAACAAATAAAACATAACGTGATTTGGTGGTAAAATGTACTTACTCTTTCTATCTAATATGGTTCAAGTGGACTTGACGTCATTTTATCTTATTTTTAAAAAAATTAACTTGTTTTTCGGATATTCGGGTACTCGTTCGGTTCTCGGTTCGGTTCTGGTTCCGCTTCGGTTTTTCGGGTATAGAAATATAGGAACCATTCGGATATTTAAGAATTTCGGTATGGTTTCGGTTTCGGATATTTTGGTTCGTTTTCGGTTCGATTTTTTGGTTCCGGTTTTTTTGCCCATGCCTATGTACATAAATGAACCCCCTTTTGGTGTTCATATATATTGTTTATTAATTTTATGGTGGAGTTATGAATAGTGATAAATCCAGATCAATTGTGCTTTTCTATCAATGAATCTGAAGTCGAAGTTCATAAAAATAAAATAATATATTTTTTTGAAAATAAACTATTTTTTTTTTGAAAAGTTATTATTCAATATAATGAGAATTTTCGAATTAAAAAAATAATTTTTAATATTTTTCTAAAAAAATTCATTCAATAAATTGAGAATTCATGAAGATAGAAAATATTTTGTATTATTTTTAAAAAAGTTTTTATTAAATACATTGAGAATTTATAAACTTACATAATATTTTAAAATATTTTTAAAAAACTTTTATTTAATACATTGAGAATTCATGAACATACAAAAATTATTCATCTAGATTACCAAACTTTTGCCATATATTTTCAATTAAATCAGTTTTGAAATGAGCATGTGTCTGTAAATCCCGAATTTGATTGCCAATGCCAAACATATTCCCGGCTTCACAAATGTTGTTGGTTGAACTTGGGAGCTTCTGCTTGACTCTCTTGCTTCGAACTCATATGTATCATACTGAGTGTATCCATCTCGTTCGTCCTCTACTATCATATTGTGCAGTATGACACAAGTTCTCATAATCTTTCATATATTTTCCTTGTCCCATAGTAGACATGGGTTTCTAACTATTGCAAACCTCGATTGCAATACTCGAAAAGCACGTTCGACATCTTTTCTGGTGGATTCTTGACGTTGAGCAAATAAATCTGCTTTAGGACCTTGAGGAAGTGGGATGGATTGGATGAATGCTGACAATTTCGGATAAATACCGTCGGTAAGGTAGTACCCCATACGATAATTGTGGTTATTGACCTTGAAATTAACTTTAGGAGCTCGACCTTCTAAAATGTCATCAAAAACTGATGACTGATCAAGAACATTATATCGTTGAGGGTACCTAGTAATCCGAAAAATGTGTGCCATATCCAAAGATCATGCGATGCCACAGCCTCTAAGATAATTATCGGCTTTGCTGAACCACGTGTGTATTGTCCTCTTCAAGCCGTTGGGCAGTTTTTCCACTCCCAATGCATACAGTCGATGTTGCCTATCATCCCTGGAAACCCGCGTGCTTCTCAAACATCGAGTAATCGTTGAAGATCATTCGGTGTAGGTCTTCTTAGATACTCATCTCCAAACAATTGTATTATCACTTCAGTGAAATTATCCAAACATAAAAGTGCAGTAGTTGCCGCAAGTCGGAGATATTCGTCATACGAATTTCCTGCTTGACCATATGCCAGCATTCGTATAGCTGAAGTACATTTTTGAAGTGCAGATAGCCCGTACCTTCCCTGACCATTTCTTCTTTGCTGAAAATATGGAACTTCATTACTTAGGCGATTGACAATGCGAAGGAACAAATGCTTGTTCATTCGAAAACGCCGCCTAAACATTTCAGGTGGGTATGTAGGATTTTCACTGAAATAGCAGTTCCATAGTTGATTGTGCCCTTGTTCCCGATCTCTTTCGATATAAACTCGTCTCTTTGGCTTGTTTGCGTGACCATCAACTATAGAGTCGATGAAATCGTCAATGTGTTGGTCGACCATTTCTTCAAATACTTCATATGTTTGAAAATTTTGATTAAGTTTTAGATAATGATATAAAGAGAGAATGAGATAGAGAAATATGATACAAATAGAGAATGAACTCAAGCTTGGTAATTCATTTATGAAGAGAATGATATAAAGAGAGATTGAGATAAAAGAGAGAATGAGATATATGAAGGCAAAGTTGATGAGTTTATACAAAGTTTTGAACAAAGGATTCAGTTCATCTGTGAGATTACAAAATACATGTGACAGTGTAGAAACATATAAAATACTACACTGTATCCGTGGCTTTAAGAAGTGTAGAAACATACAAAACACTACACTGCATCCGTGACTTAAAAGCAGTGTAGAAACATATAAAATACTACACTGTATCCGTGGCTTTAAGAAGTGTAGAAACATACAAAACACTACACTGCATCCGTGACTTAAAGCTACTAAGCTACATCCCGTCCATACACAACAGAAACAGACATAAAGAAAAGACATAAAGAGACTTTCCGTCCAGCTTATACAACCGTGAACCAGCCTTCACCTGCAACCCGTGACCTACAAAAATAAACCAAACAAGAAAGTATATAAGTAAATAGATTCAATCAACCAAGTAAATAATTAAAAATCAGAGATTCAATCAAGCAAGTAAATAAATTAAGAACCAGAGATTCAGTCAACCAAGTAAATAACTTAGAAACCAGAGATTCAATCAACCAAGTAAATAATTAACCAAAGCAGAAATTCATAAAAGGAAGTTAACCAATTCAATCAAATCATTTCAGATATGAGTTTGTTCTTCAGAGAGATTTCGTTAGGAGAAAGATCATTGTCTTTTTTTGGCAAGGAGACGCTCAAGCAGTTTCTGTTTGTTTATGCTTTGTTTCACATCAAGAATGCTCTGTATTTGATCAAAACCTGCTTCGTTCCCGTGCTTCTTGCGCTTGGCTGCTTTGCTAGACTTAACACCAGAAGGTCTAGCCTCTTCCTCCTCAGGCAACACCTCCGCAGGTTCTTTCCTTTTATCCTTACCACCATCTTTGAACAGAGATTTCCATTTTTGATCATATCTAAGCTCTCTCCAACAATATTCAAGGGTGAACTTGACATTATAGTCATTTGAGAAGATATCATGGGCAGCCTTCATGACATCATCCTCATTTTGACCACTTCCTTGCTCCTTCGAAGCTGCGTCATAGCTTCCCACAAACTTGCACACCTCTGCATTCACTCTTCCCCACCTCTGCTTACACTGACTCCACTCTCTAGGAACGTTGCCACTCAGCTGAGGGCTTGAATTGAAATACTCTTCAATTCTCTTCCAAAACGCTCCTGCCTTCTGCTCATTACTGACTATGGGATCTTTGCTGGTGTTCAACCAAGCACTAATGAGCACAAGGTCTTCTTTCGTTGACCACTTTCTCTTTTGCAATGGTTTCACTAACCCCGAAAATTTAGCCTCACCATAGTCTACGTCTATTGTTGGACTAGTCTGGAAAGCTAGTAGGTTAACAAACCCAGGAGAGTTTAAGGAGAAATGATTCATTTTGGTTTAGGGTTTAGGTATGTGTTTTTAAGTTAATGTGATTTTTAGAAATGGACCGGATCTGTTTTTATATTAGAAAGAGAGAGTTAATGATAATTTAGTTGTAGGTGAGTTTAGGTGAAAAATATAGTTCTACATGAGTTTAATAAAAAATTAGTTGTAGTTCTACCGTAGAATGTTAAGTCACAGCACACATTCATTACACATCAACTCAGTACGAAAAAAACAGAACATTCAACACCACAACCAACCAACAGAGAGTTAATAAAAATTGTTTGAGTTTAACTCTACTTTTATTTATATTTTGAAGTCTACTTTTAAGTCTACATTTACAAGGATCCATCTTGGTTTGTGTTTTTAAGTTAATGTGATCTTTAAAAGTTGACTTTTTAAGTTAATGTTATTCTAGTACGAAAAAACAGAACACCATTCAAACGCAAACACAACACAGCAACCAACCAACAGAGTTAATGAAAATTTATTTGAGTTTAAGTCTACTTTTAAGTCTTCATATTTCAAAACTAGTTCATCATTCAAAATACTAGTTGATCATTTGAGTGTTACCTTGGGTTTTCAGTCGAAGCAGAGCCTCTCCAGGTCAGTCATCCGCACGGTGAGGTAATTTACCTGCTCAGAGAGGTTTTTAACCTGTTCTTGGACATGGAAACAGCAATGAACATGTATGACAATAATTTTAACTACTTAACTATACAAATATACAATGAAGCAAGTATAATTAACTAACCTCCAAGAACTCAATTTGTTTATTCATAGTCGAGACACCCTTCATCACCTGCTCAACCTCCTCCACACGCTTAGTCAACTTTTCGATCTCCTCTTGAACACCATGCACCCATGGCTGACGATAATGTAAACCATCACCTTGTTTACAACATAACAACAATCCAGATACAACATTATTTACAGAAATTTAACAATTTATATAAATTCCCAAATCAGATTCGAGTATGTGACATTAACTCGTAGTTAATGCAGATAAAGAACCGCTTCCCAGGATGACTATTGTACTCCTCCTTCCCCCGAACCTCGTCGATAATCCTGCCACCACAGGGACACCTTCTGGGAATACCATATTGT